TTCCATGCCACTATTGAAACTTCTGTTGAACCTGTTGCTGATAAAGTTGCTGATACTTCTGTTGAATATTTTGATTCATTTGCTGCTACTGAAGACCAAGATGTTGATGCTGCTGTTGAATTTGAATTAGATGAGTTTGAAGTTGAAGCTGATTCCTCAGATCCATCCCTTAGGCAATTCTGATTCTGCTCAAGAGTTTCACTCTTTTGCGTCACAAGATCATCTTTTCTATCATGGAAAGGTGTTCGGTTCCCTTGCTCATTCTGCTCTGACACAAAAGTCACATGTTGGTCACCATCTCTTTATAGATACAGGTGCTTCAAACAATTATGTGTCTTCTCAATTTGTTGATACCATTTTTCAAAATGGTGTTCCAGGTTTGTGTCCTTCTAATCCGGTTGGTCGGTTACGTGTCCCTATCAACATCACTGTTGGTAATGGTGAGGTGATTGTAGCCACCAAATTTGTTACACTTTTATTCAATGTCAACGAAAATGATGTTGATTCTGTCCCTTTTAAAGCTGATTTTGTTATATTAGACCAAATTGCTGATGATCTCCAAGATAAACTGATTCTGGGTATTAAATTATTGTCCCAACTCGGTTATACTGTGAATAAAGATGGTCACTTTTTGAATCAAATAGAACTAAAACCACTTCCAATTCACAAATCATTATTCCCATTAGATTCAGCCCCTAGTTTTATCCCCTATGTTTTGAAAGTTAAAGATTCTTATCCATTTCACAAAACCATCCATCCCTATCAAGTTCCTCAAGACCAGCTCAAAACCTATCTACAAGAATCAAAAGACAACGGTTTACTTGAAGAAGTCGCTGACATTACAGTGCTTGACGATCGGGTTATCATCTGTCCCATATTTTGCACAAAGACTGGTAGATTTGTGTTTGACTTGCGTTTGCTAAATCATCATTTGGAATTTACCAATCTTGCTTTTTCAACCAGAAATGATCTCTATTCCAAGTTGCTTCACCAAAGGTATTTTTCAATCATTGATTTGTCTAAAGCCTTTAACCTCATACCGTTAATAGGCGTGCCTTTGTTCGTGGTAAACAAGTTAGACGGTAGAATAGTCTACCATCGGGTGCGTCGTCTACCGTTTGGTATGGCTAGTTCTACTAGTGCATTTAATGTTCGTTTGCAAGATGTGCTCAAAGATGTTAAGTTAGTTGGTGGTGCTGAATTGCTTTCATATATTGATGATATTATTATTGCTTCTCCGACTATGGCTGATTCGGAAACCAATTTATCATTACTTTTGGCTCATCTCAAGAAGTTATCCATTACTATAAATCATTCCAAACTCAAGAAACATTTACCTAGTCTAGATTATTTGGGCTATACAATTGGACACAATTCTTTGAAAATTCCTGATTCTAAATTAGATGCTGTTAAGAACCTTTCCTGCCCAACCTCAGTGGGTGAAGTCCAATCTGTTTTGGGTTTATTTAATTTTTTACGTACTTTTATTCAAGAGTATAGTACATTGGCATTAGGTATGTGTTCAGTATTGAAGAAAGGCACCAAGTTTGATGCTTTGATTGTTGAAGATTCTTTTAACAAAGTGAAATCTGCCTTTTTACAAGCTGCCAAAACCATTTTGACTCCTTTAGATTTTGATTCTACGGTTTATATCTATTGTGATGCTAGTCAATTCGCTACTGGTTCTGTTTCCTTTCAATATTCTGCTGACGGTTCATTGAAATTACTTGGTTTTGATTCACAAGTGTTATCTCCTGCTGCCACAAGGTATTCCAGTTCTGAACGAGAATTGGTTGGTGTTACTCATTGTCTGAATGCCAATCCAGGTTTGGAACTACATGGTGATATTGTGGTCCTCACAGACCATAATGCTTTGGTGGATATTCAAACGAAATCTACCACTTCTCCTCGGTTACTCAGATTATGGCAAAAGATCCAACATTATTCCTTCAAACTCAAATATGTTGCTGGTCCGCTCAATATCTCTGATGCGTTAAGCAGATATGCCTCTGCTCCTAATCAATTATTGGCTCTTGGTGAAATTGAAAATGTGCCATCTGAAGAAGTTGTTGTTTCTCCAATTGATTCT